GACACACATGTTTTGTTCACTTGTAGTAAAGCAGTCATAAGTTGGAAGTTACTGGGGGGTACAGTGGGATTATCTTGAGGAAAATGGGGTTAAGTTTAGAAAGTGGTGGGAGGATATTCGTATTTTTGGTAAAGATGAAAGCTTAATGGATAGAATTAGTCATTCCACCGACATTCTTTGGCAGTTATGGAAGACGAGAAATAATTGGAAGATCAATAAGTTGTGAAGTGAAGAGAAGAATCTAGTTGACAGAGCTAGGAGTGATTGGCTTGATTAAACTTGGCAGTGGTAAAAGGTACCGGGAGACTACAAAAAGGACATGAAGTTAGGCAAAATTGTGAATAGAAGGTAGACAAGAGGGTAGGCAGTTAATACTAAGTGTCAGCGCTCATTTATCTATTAAAGGGACAGTTGGATTTGGGTGTTTGGTTGAGAAAGAAGGGAAGGAACAACTTTGCTGGATGGAGACTTGTGATAATGTTGACAACAAGGGACAGTTAGATCAAGGATTTTCGCCACAAAAGCTTTGAATGTGGGAATAAAAGCTATTTTCCAGATGATCTTTATTCTCATCCATTGTGGGTTAGGAGTATTGATTTGTAACATATTCACTTGTGATTTGTCCCACATTAAGTATATAGGAAAATAGGCTCACCTTACAAGTCTAGTGGGCCCCTCCTCCTACCACCAATTGGTTTTAGGATGGAATCTCACTTGGGCTTCACCTGGACTTTCCCTGTCTTTGTGCGCTTCATCTGCGTGGGGCCGCACTCGTTTTTCTCTCGTTTCTTACATGGTATCAAAGCCGGTTCTATGTAAGACCGTGTGATGACGTACCTGTTTACCCAGCCCGTTTCTAGTAGAGCTTGGGCACCCGACTCCGTATTTGGGCTCGAACTTTCTTATTAAGGACTCACAAGTGATGTGGCATATTAGAATATTCACTTGTGAGTTGTTTCACATCGTTTATATATGGAAAATATGTCTTATCTATAAGTCTAATGAGTTATTTCTCCTACCACCAATTGGTTTTTGGATGGAATTAACCCCATTTAGGTTTAATCTGGGCTTTCCCTGTTTGGGTGCCCTTTATCGGCGTCGTATCGCATCCGTTTTTCCCCTCGTTTCTTACAGTAACCAATTAGTTAATTAGTTGCTCGTTGTATTTGTACATTGCTCTTTATTCTCCCCCGAGTTTACTGTTCTTTTAACTTCCACGAGTTGTTCTACATGGAACTTTCTATGCATCGATCCTATTTGTATTTAATAGATTTTGTGTGAAAGTGAAGGGTTTATGGAATTTTCACAGGTATTTTTGTGTAAGGAACAAGACTCAGACAGCCAGATCATTTTCTATACAAGAAATTGCAGCTGTAAAACGGTTTACTAAACCAAATATTTGCACTACATGAACAAGTAAATGCATAGCTTGTCAAAGTTACTTATTAATCACAAACAATACAAATTAATAACAAGCAAATTAGATAGTCTCACACGAGCGTGTCAACAAACCGGTTAGTTTGAAAATTATACTAAGGAAATTGAAAATAGAAATTCCTATTATTCACAAACAATATCAATGTTATAAATGATATATTTTTTTTTTTTATCACACCATAAAATGGGGAAATTTCATTACAAGGTCCAATCCAACCTTGTAATTTAATTGTATCAATTTAATATTTGAATTTTGTTCTTTCTCAATATTTACATTTTGGTTTATTTTTTATGTAAGACAAACGTGCTTTTTTAGACTATTTTTCATTGTAAGACCCAACTAACTGTACTTTTTGACATAAATATGTGAACCAACTATATGTGAATAGAAATATTTTTATTATTTTTTCTTGTAATTTATATTTTGCATAGTTATAATAAAAAAAATAATAAATAATTTTTTTGTAAAATTACATTAATAAGAAAATGAAATTATATAAATTGCAATTATGCAAAAATCTAATACTAGTTATTTTTAAAAACTGATAATTTCAAAAATATACTATTGAAATATTATTTTTACCAATAAAATAAATATGTGATAAAACAAAAAAAAAAAAAAAATTAAATAATATTGCCTTCATTTTAGCGTTTCAAGATTTGAACTTTTCTTTTTGAACGCGAAAATTGATACCATAATACATATTTAGATCATTAATTAAAATAATCTTTCCATTATATATTTTCCCAATTCACTTATCAATTTTTTTTAAAATAATCATTATTTAACTTTTGCATAAATATAATTTATATAGTTTCATTTTATTATTAAGGAAATTTTACTACTAATCTTTATTATTTTT